AAAAAAAAAAAAAAAAAAAAAAAAAAAATTTGGGAGAAAATTGCTAAGATAGTTAATTCATTTTAACTTCGATTAATTCTCTTACCTTGCAGTGTCCCCACATTTCCCTGCTTATCACCTTGCTGTGCTCGATCCGATGGCACCTCAAAAGCCTCAAAGTTCATTTTCCTGCTCTTTACGTACGCTTGCAGACCTGCATTGGGTCCGCGCGTTTTGGAGCGTGGAGGCGGCGCGGGATCAGAAGTGTTTTTCACCCCATTTATCGCAGTACGTTTGGAAGATTTTCCATGTGACATTTTTCTTGACCCTTCCTGTGAAGGCTTAGGGCTTTGAGCACGCACTGAGTTTTTGTCTTGGCCAGCATTATCAGAGTTACTAAGTTTTCTGTCCTTCTTTCCTTGATTCAAAATTTCTCTAATTCGCTGTAGTTCGTCGCTTTCTTTAAATTCATTTTTGGGAGGTGGTGATAATTTTCGTCTGTTTTCATCATTTTCTTTATCCTTGAGTTTTAGCGGACGGTGCTTTAGGTTCTTGTTGCCAACAGTTTTCTGATCGTCACTAGTGCCGTCAGTACCAGTTCCATCAGTGTTACTTTCCTGGTTTGTCTTTTCAGTTGTCGTTTGTTGCGGTGAGGAAGCTTGTTTCTGAGCCCTCTCGTTATCAACGGCATTTTGAACCATTTTTTGTGCTTTCTCAGTGGCCTTCTTTCGTTTTAAAAGTTCCTCCTGCAATCAGGCGAAATAACATTGTCTACTAGAAACTATAAATACTTTCCCTTTCATAAATCTGGAATGAAAGGTAAATAACGAAAAAGAGAAAAGGACTAAAGGAAGATCAACACCTCCAGAGGAGTTGACCTTGTGAGGGTGCGAAGTTCATTTTTTTTTTTCATTTGGTTTTTGTTTGGCTTCAACTCATGAATCAACCGATCAACTAACCTTTCTTTGTCTAAGATTCTCTTTTTTTCTTAAAGCCTCCTGGTTATCAACCTATCAATGACAGATATGAGTTCGTTTTTACTCTTAACTTTCTGATGTGATTAATATACATCTTCTCCTTAAAAAACATAAGTACAATCACAGTGTACAGCAAACAGGTGTCGAGAAAAATCAAACCTATCAGTGGTGGGTTTAACCTTGGAACAATAGTTAATTAATAACAGCTTGACGGGAGAGAGAAAAAACAGTTCTTTAGTTTTCACTTGATACAAAATACACACACAGAACAGCAAAGAATCGTGCCAATCAATACACTCGCAATGTGGCAAAAATAATAAAACAAGCCTGACACCAATCTATCAGAGAAAAACCTTTTTTAGGCCATCTCGTTACCATTTCCTTTTCTTGAGGACCACCTTCGCGCTCATCTGAGTCAGCGATAGTTTTATCAGCGGTTGGCCCTTTAGAAGCTTTGGCGATTTCTGCGACTCGTTCCCTAGGTAACGCACCGCTAGCCCCAGCCTTCTTGCGCGCGTCCATGAGTACTTGGCGCGCGAGGAGTTTTATATCTGCCTGATTCGCTGCGTCGTTAGTGGAATTTTTGGGTGCTGCTTTTGGAGATGCACCACTACTGCTTTCAGATTTCTCATTCTTGTCTCCTGCATCAGACGAAATTACGCTAGAAACTGCTGGTCTTTCATTATCTCTAGCAGGGCCTCCATCCGTTTGCTCGCTTTTCCATTCGTCAAAAGAAGGGATGAGGGGTGGTCGCCTCGGGGGAGCGGGAGCGGCCCTTTTCGGGGTCCTTTTCGCGGGGGATGCATTGGGAGATGTTTGCTGTTCACCGCTTGTTTCTGATGTTGTCGGCCGTGACCGTCGGTGTCTCTGAAAAAAAATGGTTATATTAATAGTCATTCATTTAACGTGTAATAAATTTAATTAAAAAGTTTTCTGGAGCTCTCATCTTTTTGTCCTTGACTTATAATACATAGCATTTATGTTTTCCTCTACATCAACAACAACTCAACACTCACAGTGGGAGTAACCTCCGTGGGAAGTCTCGCTGTCCACGGATCATCAGATGAACGTACTGCCGGAGGGGGTGGGGCACGCCTTTTCTTCGCGCTAGTCTCCTGCAATGCAGAAATACATCAATTTAACCCTCTGACCCCCAAGATCCCATTAGTCATTCTCCTTAATGTCTTAGGATTTTCATTAGGAGAATTTAGTATTTGATCAATTGATAATCCCCTAATTGCTTTTTTTTCTTTATTCCCATCACTTGTCAGCTTGTTTCTGTATTGTTACTGTAAGGAGGAGTTCTGTCTTGGTCACTCAGAGAGCTAAACTGTTGAAACTAATGGCAATCAACTGATTACGAACTTCTTCACTGTTCACTGCAAACGCGAACAACAAAATTTACCTATGATTTCGCTAACATCTGTATTAATTCTAAGAATATACAACAGGAAAATAGAACAAATTTCCCCTTTCCTCAACAAATGCGACCATTTTCACATAATTTCCTGGATGCTAGTAGCTTAAACAGGGCTCCTTGTCTCCCTAACCCGTAAAAGTGACTAGGATTTAATTTCTCCTTACAATGTCACCCTTAAATCAAACATTAAGCTCGTGAGAATAAAGACATAATCACCAACTAAAGAAGCTCTTGGATACTAAACAAATTCTACTGAAATGCGAAGAGAACATACAAATGTTAGCGTGCGTAAGGCTAACAACATCCTTACCGCCGGTTTAAGCGCAGCAGACGGAGAACCCGTCCCAGATTGGGCAACTCTATTGACGTTAGTTTTCTTTTCCGTGCTAGACTTTCTCAATGAATCAGCCTGCACGGCGCTATTGTTATCATTCACACTTTCATCATCATCGTCCTCAAACGGATTATAACCCTTTGTTGTCGACTCTAACGCAGTGTCCTTGGTCGCTTTCTTTGCTTTGGGTTTAGTTCTTTCTGAGCTTTCATCAGTCGCATTCGACTTTTCGTCATCGCCTTCATCGAACGGATTATAATGATGGGGATACGACAGTTGTCTTTTTATCACACCCAATGTTTTCTTCTCGACGTTTTTATCAGTTTCTGCTGCGTCTCCTTCATCGTCGTCATCGTCAAATGGATTATAACCAGTCTTATTGTCCTTCTCTGCAGAGCTATCAGCTGTCACATCATCGTCGAAAGGATTGTATCCTTTGCTGGGCTTTGTGGATTTTGCAGGCGAAATAGTTGTCTCATTTTCCTCTTCGTTATCGTCCTCATCGAAAGGATTAAACGGTTTTGATTCGGTCTTTTCTTTCTTATTTACATTATCGTCAGTCTTTAAACCCGCATCCTCTTTGTTATCAGTCTGATAAATCCTTGGGGGTTTTGGAGGTGGTTTCGAATCACTCTTTAGAAGTATATCTTTCTTCTTGTCGCCATTTTCCTCGACGGAATTTTTCCTATCTACGCTTGTATTCGAAGAAGTCGTCCCAGTGTCTTGCTCGTTTTCTGTTTTGTTCAAGTTAGATTCACTTAAACGTCTGGCAGAAGGATCAGTCGACAACTCGGGCGAGGCAGTTTCATGGTCCTTCTCCTGATCGTCCAAAAATGGGTTGCACCCTTCTTTGCTGTCCTTGGAGGCGGCCTCCTTGCTGTCTCCACCGCTATTATTGTCTTTGTCATTGCTATCATTGTCTGCTACAGAAGCATCATCTTGTTTTGTTGGTTCTTCTGTGGAGGTCACCGTCATTTGTGGTGGGACGGGTAATCTTCGGGGTCTGGGTGACGTCTCCAGACTGAGTGGGCTCGGAGGGAGCGGTTGCCGCGTCCGACTGAAGTGAGTCTTGATCTGAAACACATAGGTCATCACAGACAGCTTGTCCGGGATAGGTGTGAACATCATCTGGGTGGGGTCCAGAAGACGTGGAATTCCCAGCTTCTCAAAAGCGGTAAAAGCCTGAATGATTCGAGGGAAAAATAAATAAATAAATAAATAAATAAATAAGATAAACTAATCGTACAAAGATTAGTGGAGCTGAGCAATCACCCGTTAAAAAGTGAACAAAGAATTCTAAAATGTAAATTAGTTTGTGGAAGAGAGAACTCCTGAAGAGTAATCTTATGATCACTTCTGCTCAAGTTGGCAAATATTCGATAACAGACCTTTTCAGGAGAGCCTTTATCCTTCAGCTCAGACTACATAAGTCAGTTCTATAGTGTTTCAACTCAGATACCCGGTCACCTTAACAAGACCACGTTACAACTGACGAAACCTACAAAATAGCATTTATTAATACAGTGAAATAACAAAAAGATAGTTTCTTACCAACTTGTTGTTTTCTTTAATGTTCGCTGCATTAAGTGAAGAAAAGTCACTGCAGAAAAACAATACAAACAATGAAGCAATTTCCTCGTTTTTTAAGCAGAATGTTGTATAACAAATACTCCTGGCAAAAGAAAATCGTGATCTACTCTGAAGATACAAGTATTTAGATGCACTTTTGTCATAAAAAGATGTACGATAATCACAACTCACACTTTATCAGGATGGAAGCTGTGTAGAATTGCACAAAATGCAAGTCCATCTCTCCAACTGCTTGTCATGTTCTTGACTTTCACTCCACGGTAGCCTTTCGTACATGTTCGTACCCATTCTACAAGAAAAATAAATATACTTTTATCACAATAGATATACATTAAGCAAATGATAAAGCTTTCCGTGAACGCTACAATGGCCCAATCGCCAGACACGCTCATTGGTGAAGTGATCTTACCGGAGATGAAAGGAGATGGAACTAAAAATAAAATGAGGGGAGAGACGAAGGGGAGGTAAAGGGGGGGGGAGGGGGCGTCAAGGGAGGTTTACAAGGGCACTGCCTTGTGCTCAGTTTGCATTACTGCTTTACTTGCTCTGTTCCCCTCCCTTCCCTCCCCCCACATGTGATTATGATTTGTCAGTGTTGTGTTGAAAGGTGTCTAGAGGTGAGTTGTGGCCCGGTCGCCTAGGTAACCTCCTTATGTATTGTTGAACAAGAACAAAGGTTATTGAAGTGATCAGGTTATCCGCTTTATCAAAGAGAATCATGCAAGGGACAATGCAGCACTTACTTATCAGCTCAGATTCCATCCTACTCTTGTCATTAGTATCCTGAAATAAATTTACATACAGTACCGCTCAGATATACGTTAACTGCGCATACGAATTTTTAACGCACATGTACACATTGTTATACGCGCATACACGTGTGAACATACGCGTACACATGTGCATTTAATGTGTCTTTCATATTGAAAGTCAAAAGTTTCCTTTCTGTTACATTGCTGTATAAAAGAAAGACCCTACGGGTCTGAAAAAGCGACGACTCGACAAAGGAAAACTTACATATTGCACACTATTGTATAAATTGACAAAGACGTATAATGTATGTAATGAAAATAGACTGGAAGGCACAAAAAAAAAATGTATATGTACACATGAAATACTTAAATAATGCACTTAAATTATTTGTAACCATAGGACACGCACACTTGTAATTTACAGCGTACATATAGATACGGCTAAATCTTAAACATAGGTGTACAGAATGATAAAGAAATTTAACGTTACCTGACCACCATCAGAGATGTCTGCGGATGCATCTGAGTCTGTGCTTGACCTTAATATATAAAAACAGATCATTTTCAGTTTATAGCAAAAAGGTGTTCAAAACAACAGACTGAACCACTATACATGTAGAAAAGTATAAGTACCTTAGCTTAATTACACTTTTCTTCTTACCTTTTCATGCCTTCTTCTTTTAGAAGGTCATTAACTAGAGTCTTTGTGTTTTCTCCTAAAGCTGATTTAGATCTTATTCTGCCTTGTTTCTTGGAAAGGACTGGAGATGCTGTTGGTGATCTGCTTCTAGCAATGTCTGACTCTTGCAGACTGGATACAGCTTTGGGAGAGAATTCATTGTTTGTAAAAAACGAACAAAATGGCATAACATAAATATTGTTTATTTTTCTCCCTGTCAATTTTGTTTTATTTAAGAAGGCAATTAAATATTACTTTCACAGAATTTTAATTGTGATGAACAAGATGAGTATCTCATTTGATCTTCCAGTACAATATCTGCATTGCACTGTGAACAAGCCATTTTGTGCTATTTTTCTCCAGTGTTGGCTTACAAAAAAAAAAAAAAAGAAAAAAAGTCTTTTAATAGGATTACACAATTACTGGTAAACCAGTAGTTTCCATTGTGGTCCATGCAAACAAATGAAACAAATAGTCTAAATTGAACATAACATAATTAAGAATATCATTAAGAACCCCAACCGGCCGGAGGCAAACCAATTGGCTATTTACAAGCGTGGCCAAGGATGTGAACTCGGGGCTACCGTGAAACAAATCCAGTGGTGAGGGTGGGACTCGAACCCAGGAGCGTCGGATTACGAGTCTGACACTCTAACCACTGGGCCACACTGCCTCCTTAAAGTTACCTTAAGACCCTAAGAGTGGCTAGCATCTACATGTAAATTCCCATTACAGTGATATTGCTGAATCATTCCTGAAGACCATGAGAATACAACAAATGATTGCGAACCGAAGGGGCTTTGATTGCTGCATGTAAATGAATTTTCCTTGTCAGTACCAAAGGAAATGAAAAGAGAAGAGTAAAGGAATATGAATACTGATGTTACATGTAGGATGTAGAGGTTAAGGAGCATACAAAAAATAACTTCAATCAGAGATCATTTCTGCCATTTGCCTTTGCTGTACAATAAATGGAAAGCTCCAAGTCACTGTTGAGATTTTGAAACAAGAATAAAGGGATTTAGCATAATTGTTCAGGTGATTAACAAGATGCACATGTTCTGATTGGTTAGGGAATGCATCAGATCTCGCTACAATTACCTAGTGCGAGGTGATTAAATATGTAGTAGGGAACTAAATTTCAAAATGACTGCCTCCCATTTTGTCAATGTTCAGAGGAAATGTAATAGAAAAAAAACTAAATTCTGGAGAGTAAAAAAGATGCTACTAAGTTGATGTTAAACTTTTCCAAAGAAAGATAGGAGGGTTTTCCTTGATTGAATTAAATAAACCTGTTATATTCTTGCACATGGTTTCAACAACAAAACAAACTTACAGTCACTGTGGAATTTAAAAGCACCTGAGCAATCACACTAATAAAAGCAATTATTTGCCTTAGGCTCAGAAATTGTTGTCAAATAATCCCCTCAACTTTGTCTCCGGGTTTATGCAACAATATTCACTTTGCCTTTGGCCAATAATTGTTAAATATTCATTAATATGTAAATCAACACCTTGTAGTATTACTGGTACCTTGTACTTTCATATTCCCTCCCTGTGAAATGTTCCGTCTATGAAACCTCGGTGATGGCACCATTTCCATGTCCTCATCATTATCATCCAAGTAATAGGAGTCATTCAAGCTCATCATACTACCAATACTGATCATATCATCATCACTATTACCAAAATAAAAGCAAAAAACAAACAAACAAACAAAAAACTTTAGGATACAAATAAAAGGGAAATTTTAGAAACTATCTATAGCTAACACCTGTACCTTTCTTGTAAAGGATATTTGCATTTTGAAAAAGGGCTCTGAGTCCCACAAAAGAGCATTTTAATAATCCACTTTCTGTCCAAATTTAGAATAAGGTACGGTGTTACTGATCGATCTTCATATCCCAATGTGACCAAGGTATAGCCTACTAAACCAGATACAATGACGTTGATCATTTTAGCGTAACTGAAACTTAATTTTATTCATAGTTTTATGCTAATCCAACATTTCATAACCTTCCTCTCGCTTGACCTATCCCAGCTGTATTCTTACTGTAATTATAGTTCGTAGATATTCATTGTAAGAATACTTTGATAAGTGCAATATAGTTTTTACTATAATAAATTGATAGTCCTATTCATACAAACACTTATACTTCCTTTTCTTTACGACATGTATTTTGTTACTTAACTTTGTTTTATAAAATTAATTTAGTTTGATGGCCACTAGTTACTCAGTTGAAGCACTTTCCCATATTACCCTCGTTAAATAAAGCTGATTGATTGATTAATTAGAATAGTGCCTGAAGAAACCACTGCTGACAGTAAAGATAAGCAGTTATCTAGCAATTGCATATTGAGTAATTGTCTTACCCATATTTATGCCATAAATTTTAAATATATTTTTTTGCATACTGCTTTTTAGCACAGTTGTTACACCCCCAGTCTTTTTTTTTTTTTTTCTGTTCTTACTTACGTAGCCATTCCTTCCTTGATCAATACGCAAGTCAGATTGAACTCAAGAGAAGCTGACACTAACTTCTTACTAGCAACTTTCAGAGTTAGTGTGACTTCAAAGGTGTGGCTCTCTACACTGGCATAATCAACCATGTTGATAGCACCTGTGGCTATAGGCTTTCTTCTTCCATTCTGGGCTTCCTGTGTGAGAAAAAAAATGGGTAAGGTAGGTTAGCAGGCTGCCTGGCATCTCTCTAGTGACATTGAGTGAAGCTAAGTTACTGAGTGATGGAGCGCATGCGCCCTACAAAACCTGAATACACTACAAACAGCTAAATTTTAGCCACAATACCCTACATCTAGATACAGTTAATGATTACCATTCATAGTTAAAACTTACATCTTCAATGACAAAAGTCCATTCCTTGTCCTCAAACCCACTATCTGGTTTAGGGTCCTTGATTTAAGAAAAAAGTGGGATGAACATACAGTGTAAAAAGGTTTAGTCTTGAGCTACATTCACTTTGGGTTTTTGTAGATTGTATAATTTATTTTGAGCCTAGATAATTGTTCTACAATACAGGCTTGAAATAACTGCTAGTTCTGAGTCAATGCCAAATAAAAAAAAACAGAAGGGTATTTTGCTCTAAACAAAAAATTTTAATTTTAGCTGCTTCAGAATGACAAGGAAACTAAATGTATGCAGTTACACACTTGAGCCCTTCTACTATTAAGCAAAACTAAAATACAAAACACTTTCCTGGAAAACATGCCTCACACTGCTACAGAGGGCTTTTGACAGCACGTGTCCATCTGCACTAACTTTTCAGCCCCCTGTGCTGGATATAAGTTAGTTCTGTTGTCCAAGTAACATACTACATGTATCATGGTATTTGCATGTAACTAATCCATGATAGGTATTAAACCTGTGCCCAGCTTAGCCCAAGAGTATTACAAAAACCTCTTCACTGTCTGATTTTTGATTAGCTCAGTCATCTTAAAAACCGCCTCACATGTACACGTACCTTGTAAAGAGTAACAGTGATGTCAACAGGTTCTGGCTCCGGCCAAACAATGATCCCACGGAAAGGGTTGCTGATTCCTGGTTGCCATGACATTGGCTGTACAGTTGAAATAATCAAGTAGAATTAATGATTGATGGTCCAATTTCATCTTACATTGATCATTGTCCAACCATTAGGGTGGCATTTTAATCAGAACTGTGACAAACTTTTTTAATATGATCAGGTAACACCAACCCAACCCATTCTAAGCTCAAATGGGACAATAAACATGTCATGCTTGTGTAATAGACAGTGTAATAGGTCAGTGTACACATCGTGCCTGTCAATTTGAAGAGTATAAGTGCCCACTTTTGTGGTGCATTTTTCTGAGTTAAGAGGCTGTCCATGTAAGAACCGACATCTTGAATTTCGTAAATTACATAGGATTTCAAAATATCAACCAATTGAGTCAGTGGAAGAATTTGCAGCTATGCTTCTATATTTATACCATTTTACTCTTATTTTTCTATTATTTTCTTTGTTTTATCAATTAGTCGCTCTTCTATCAAAAAAGAAAAGCTCTATTCCTTAATATGTTTGAAAAAAGTACTTGAAACCCTGTGTACACCAAACCAGTCCTTACCAAAATGGGTCAAACAATGTTTGACATTCTTATTAAAAAGTTTAGACTTTTTCCTATCAGTTAAAGTCATATCCCTCTAAGAATGTGGAAAGTTTAGTCACCAGATCTTCTTTCCTATCTCGGCAACCATACAGAATCTCAAAAAATTTATTAAGCATCTCCTTATGCATGACAACACTGAAAGTTTCAAGTTTCTTATTGTGTGAGAGGTCATGAAAGCATTATGGGATGGTTTAGACCAAGCTGGCTGGCAACATTTTCCAACATTTTAC